ACTGGTCAGTGATCAATGAGGAGGGGTAGCCGCCATACCTCCAGGAGTTGAATGATCTTGAACAAAGACTTAGACCAATCACTGAGTAGGAAGGGGGCACGCTTACAATGGGCCTCGCCTTGGGATAGTAGGCCTTGTCTTTGCTTAACCACCCGGCCAATTTCTCTGCGGCGGTGGTAAAGTCTTGGAGGTTGTCGCTCGCGAGATTCTTTTGGAATATGGGAAATAGCTTATCATTGTTCTTCTCCGCGCTTTTAGCTGCAGCTATTGCGGGCGTCATAACTCTGTCTGACATGGTAGCCGTTGATGCTATGAAGCGCGGGGCATGTGGTGTGTGAAGCAGAAAAAATGCCAGCGGATGTGAGGTGGAAGTAGCGACAAGCGTCGGGGAGAGTAACGTAAATGCAATAGGCCGAGAGCACTGAGTGACGAGTCTGCGGCAGCGAATTCAGGCCAAATTATCTTATCTAGGGCGTGGTTGAATCTTATCAGATAGCGATTACCTAGCACGCTATCTAATCACGGTGACGCGTCACAGCGCCGACGCTGTCTGACGCATCTCCCGACTTCACTCGACTTCGACTCGATTTGCTCATCCTCCTCCTCTTCCTCACCATCCTTCTCCCCATCCCTTCGTTCTTTCACCCCTCCATCTCCTCCGCTTTCTGCTGGCTTGCCTTTGCCTTGGTCAGCTGTAGCCTCAGGCAGGTTCTCTCAGCCGTCCCGTGGAGCGCATGAACATCCTCGGAAGCATACGAGCGGTAGCAGGACCCTCAGCACGGTCATGTAGTCGACGGTTATGTGACCCAGGTCCTTCCAGATGGACGGTGCCTGCCGCACTTGCTGGCTCATCGCGAGCACCTTTCTACGCGTCGAGGTCGTCACTGGTGTCCCACCGGACGTTCTGCTCGTCCACCGTCACAGACTATTCCCCCACGGCAGTAGCTCGTCTCCCGCGCTGGGTCAATAACGCCAAGCCTGGTTCGACACCCGACCAGCAGTCTACCGACGCAACTCAGGCGAAGAAAGATGTACGACTAGATAGCGCTGAGGATGGGCAGTCCCCACCACCAGCATCTGCGCCTCCCTCGACGCCTCCCTCATCCTCGTCGTCCTCGGGTGATGGTTCTGACAACGCGGACCCGCCACCGCCTCCACCACCAGACAATCCGCCGCCGCCGCAAACGTCGATCTCCAAGCAGTCTGTTCCGGAAATCTATCCCCAGGTTTTGGCCTTGCCTATCGCTCGTCGTCCCCTCTTCCCCGGTTTTTACAAGGCAGTTGTTATTCGGAACCCTGAAGTCGTTGCAGCCATCAAGGAGATGATGCGCCGCGGACAGCCCTACCTTGGTGCCTTCCTCCTGAAGGATGAGAATGTGGACAGCGACATCATCACGGACATCAACTCGGTACACCCCGTTGGAGTGTTTGCGCAAATCACAAGCGTGTTCACCGCCGCGAGCAACAAGGAGGATGAGAAGGAAGAAGGACTCACTGCAGTCCTTTACCCACACCGTCGTATCCGGATCACGGAGCTCGTGAAGGGCGGCCAGGCTGCTAAGGTCGAAGCGGTTGAGAGCACACCGGCTGAGTCCCCAGTTCCGGAGTCCGAAGGCCAGCTCCCGACGCCTCCACCAGAGCGCGAAGGCCCGCCTATGACCATGCAGACGTCGTTCCTCGAAAAGTACGCGGTATCAGTCGTTAACGTCGACAACCTCGCCACACAGCCGTATAACAAGGACGACCAGCACATTCGTGCCTTCATGTCGGAGATCGTGTCGGTATTCAAGGACATCGCGCAACTGAACCCGCTCTTCCGCGACCAGATCGCAAACTTCAGCATCAATCAGGTCGCGTCGAACGTCTTTGACGAGCCTGACAAGCTTGCCGACTTCGCCGCCGCTGTATCTACTGGTGACCCCAACGAGCTGCAGGATGTCTTGGAGAGCCTTATCGTCAAGGACCGACTTAGCAAGGCGCTCCTCGTCCTCAAGAAAGAGCTCATTAATGCCCAGCTACAGAGCAAGCTCGCGCGGGATGTGGACAGCAAGATCGCTAAGCGTCAGCGCGAGTACTATCTCATGGAGCAGCTCAAGAACATCAAGAAGGAGCTCGGAATGGAGTCTGACGGCAAGGACAAGCTCATCGAGAAGTTCAAGGAGCGCGCTGCTGCGTTGAAGATGCCCGAGGCTGTCCGAAAGGTGTTCGACGAGGAGTTGAACAAGCTTATGCACCTCGAGCCTGCTGCGTCTGAGGCGAATGTCACGAGGAACTACTTGGAATGGCTCACTCAGGTATGTTCTCCCATGTCCCGCTATGCCGCAGACCACGAGCTCACACGACTATTCAGATCCCTTGGGGCCGTCACTCCCCCGAGAACTACTCCATTTCTCACGCGCAGAAGGTGCTGGACGAAGATCACTACGGACTGAAAGATGTCAAGGATCGCATACTTGAATTCCTCGCCGTCGGAAAGCTTCGCGGCACCGTCGAGGGCAAGATCATCTGTCTTGTTGGTCCGCCGGGCGTTGGCAAGACATCCATCGGCAAGTCGATCGCTCGCGCTCTAAACAGGCAGTTCTTCCGGTTCTCTGTTGGAGGCCTGACGGACGTCGCGGAGATTAAGGGTCATAGGCGTACATATGTCGGGTAAGTTCCGAACTCGGGCACAGCGAGACGCGGAGGGTATTGACATGTTATGCAGAGCTCTTCCTGGCAAGATCATCCAGGCGTTGAGGCGTGTTGGTACCGAAAACCCGTTGGTGCTTATCGACGAGGTTGACAAGATCGGCCGTGGCCATAATGGTGATCCCGCAAGTGCCTTGCTCGAGATGCTCGACCCCGAGCAGAACACCGCGTTCCTAGACCATTAGTGAGTATCTATCTGCTCTAAGTTTAGAATCATCGAGCTGATTTTGGCATAGCATGGATGTCCCAGTCGACTTGTCGAGAGTGCTCTTCGTGTGCACAGGTATGCTGAAGTGTATTCGAGTAGTCTGCCCGTATTCACCACAAACTCATAGCTAACATGCTCGATACAATTCCGGCACCATTATTGGACCGCATGGAGGTTCTGGAGGTCAGCGGCTACGTTTCGGAGGAGAAGGCCCAGATCGCCTCGAAGTATCTCGGCCCTCAGGCAAAGGAAGCCGCCGGTTTGAAGGAAGCTGATGTTCAGCTCGAGCCTTCGGCCATTGACATCCTCATCAAGTACTACTGCCGTGAGAGCGGTGTCCGTAACCTCAAGAAACACATCGACAAGGTACGTCTCGGCCTTTGTGAGAGGGAGAATCTTATTGATCGTGCGTACAGATCTACCGGAAAGCCGCTCTCAAGATCGTCCAGGACCTTGGCGAGGAAGTCTTCCCCGAACCTGCTCCAGCCCCTGCTCCCGAGGCGACCGCCGCCGATACGAACAAGTCGGAGGAGGAAACTGTCAAGGCCGCTTCCACCGTAGAGAAGCAAGACGCGCCCCCGGATACTCCTGACGCCCCAGAAACTACCACGCCGCACAAGTCTGCGGAGGAGAAGGACGACAAGGAACGTGTGGTGACTACGGTGGAGCGTAAGCCGATGAAGGTTCCCGACACAATTCACGTCCGCATTAGCCCCGAGAACTTGAAGGATTACGTCGGCCCTCGTGTCTACCACAAGGATAGGTTGTATGTCCACCCTCCGCCTGCTGGTGTCAGCACTGGTCTGGGATACCTCGGTAACGGCTCGGGCGCTGTCATGCCTATCGAGGCTCTTGTGAGTACCCTGAGTTTCCCCCAGCTATGCAGTTCATATTCTGACACAGTCGATCGTAGTCCATGCCTGGCAAGGGCAACCTTCAGCTCACCGGCAAGCTTGGCGAGGTCATCCGGGAGAGTGCGCAGATTGCTCTGTCGTGGGTGAAGTGCCACGCCTACGAGCTTGGAATTACGAAGACTCCGGACGAGGTCTTCCTCACGGACAGGGATATTCATGTGCACATGCCCGAGGGTAGCATTGGCAAGGAGGGTCCTAGCGCAGGCACCGCCTTGCTCTCTGCGTTCGTTTCGCTCTTTACGAAGACCAAGATCAGTCCCGACATCGGTGAGTACTCCTACCAATGTCAACCCATGAGGAACATAGTACTAACTCCGTGGCAGCGATGACGGGCGAGATCTCGCTTGTAGGCATGGTGCTCCCCGTCGGTGGCCTGAAGGAGAAGATCCTTGCCGCACACCGGGCGGGCATCAAGACCATCATTGCGCCCGCGGACAACCGGCCTGACATCGAGGAGAACGTGCCCGAGAGCGTCAAGACCGGCATCCGCTTCGTCTACGTGGAGAACGTGCACGAGATTCTCCACGAGGTCTTCCGTGGCGAGCCCGTCGCGGAGCGCTGGAAGGATACCCTTCCCCTCGAGCAGTCATGAGGTCCTACCTCTCGTGCCCGCTCACGCTGAAGGGGATTCTGGCGTGGCGCAGAGGCGTACACACCAACATTACCCTCGTTCTTGCGGAGTCCCCCGCACCTCTCATGGGTGGTAGATGGCACCGCCGTATCCCTCGTACGGCGGTTAGAAGGACGCTGCGTCAGTGTTGGCTCGAATTCGCTGCGCTGCGTCCTGCGCGTCGGTGTAGGATGCAAAGCAGGAGACTCTTTCTTTACGTACGTACTACTACAGTCGTCACTACCGCTAATAGGCTGCGTCGCCTCGGATCGGCTTAGAGCAGGTTTAACTACTACCACTACCTACCTACACAAGCACCCGTCATCTGTATATTATCACGCCCATACGTTTCCTCTGCACCCCAGCTCATACGCCTATTTTATGATCCGCAGTGCTCGAGATCACATCCCAGCAACGCAGAGATGCAGAACCAAGGCAGCCCTCGTTAGATGGTAAAACGAAGCACCCTCGAGTACCATTGCACGGAAATGTGTAACCTTGCGCTCATTCTTGGCATCTATATACGAAAGCCATAAATGAATGTCAACGATGCCTCAGAACAGGAGAAAAAGTAACCAACTACCACCGACGGGGATCGAACCCGCAACCCCCACCTCGTGCCTTCCTGAGGAAGTAGGAAGGTGATGCGCTACCATTGCGCCACGATGGCTTGGATGGAGTACGTAGTAAAGCGTCCTTGAGTGCGCCGATATAAGGTCATGACATACTGAATTCATGCCACCATCATAGCCCGGGTGTGTCGTCGGATGGTTCAACCAAGTGAACCAAACCCCTCAGACAGGTAAACTGTAAGGATACCTGTTGCTCAACACGGTGCGAATCAGGGGTTAATGTCGATCACACACTCTGCCCGTAGCTCACAGTCGTTTCCAGCGGTATGTTCGGAATGCCAACCGTTCGCAAACCTTCCCAATGGTATAGCTCAGGCTGTAGGAACGGGACTCCGAAGAGATCTCAGGCTTCAGGCTTCAGGATACGCCGGTGTGTCTAATCTCGCCTGATACTTACCAACGCATGCAGAGCCTGGTTAATTTCGGGCTCGATGGCCGAGGACGCCGGGAGATGTCACTCGAAATATGCTTGGACAAAAGGCGACTAACTTGAACGTCCGTGCACTGCATCGAAACCACCCAGGTTGTTCCGGAGCTGATACTATCGTCTAGTCAGGAGATCTGACCTCAACATGCATCAGGCCACAGGCATTGAAGCAGCTCTGGCAAACATTGAATAGTATGGGCCTCAGCAGTCTTGATGGGGTAAGCATCATGTCCTTACCTCCCATCCTGGCGTCGAACCACCTCCGCAGATGACGACGATGCATCGAATCCCCAGACACGCCGACCGGATGAGGCACCCATCGACGACGTCTGCACCACAGAAGGCCACACTGATCAGCGGGGTCCGGTACGACGCTTGAAGATGCCTATTGGGGCTGCTGGACGTATACTTACCTGAGAACTACCGATCGTGAGCACTTCAGGCACGCTCGCAGGATACGGCGTGATCCTTGCGGACAGTGTTCCTGAGGGTGCCTCGCATAATCACACGGAACCTGGACACCCGGGCGCTGCTGAGCAGTGGCATGTGCACGACGGCCATGACGATGATTTGCATGCTTGACCCTGAGGGAAGTTCGCCTTCGGAATCCACGTCGGCCCTGAGGTCTGTAGAGCTACATCTGCCTGACGGCTGAAGCTTGGCTGACACGAGCGACAATCAGGCATGCATCACGACGCACCACATGGGTGCGCGCGCGCAGAACGGGATGGACGCCGGACGGACGCCAGGAGAAAGAGAACCCCGGCGAGAGCTTCGTGGCGTCGTCGTTCCTGGCGCATTCTCCGGCGGGCTTCGCCATTATTTGAGCCCAGGATGGCACCTCGCACGTCAGCAGGTCGGCGAGCGGGAGATGCGTTTGATGCGACATGGTGAGCAGCGGGAGGCATCAGCACCATCTGTCTAGTTGAGAGAGCTAAGCAGGTGGGCGGAACCGCGCTGCAGCAGTTGCGATCTGCCATGCACATCGAACAAGTCTTGTCAGCCAAGCCTTCACTGACGTACAAGGTCAGCGCATGCCGACGAAGCGGGTGTGAAGAGCGCGGACATCCGTGAGTGCAGCGCGCGTCAAAACAATTCTAGGGAATTTGTAGATGACCCGTGTGCTGCAGGCTCTTCTCCGAGTCCTACACGGAAACAGTGCCTGCACAATCAACCAATACTCGGGCGGCGGCCAACCCTGCGTGCGAGCAGCATTGTGTTTTGATTGAGGGAGCTGCGGGCACAACCACCTCTCTGTAAAAGATGGCATCCGGATGTGATTGCACTCACCTCTTCACACCTGCTCTTTGGTCGAGTCCCACCGTTCTGCGCCGGTGCCAGCGCTGTGATGATGTGCGGTTCGCGCAGACGGCACTGCGGTCACCGTTTGCTCGTCTGCCGAAACACGGCGGGGATCCGTGCGCCGTGGCGGACGCCAATTCCTAAATTGGTGCATGGACCCTGAGGCGGGAACACATCGGACCACACGCTACGTCGCACGGGCGTCATCTGCGGAGGCGCAGAAACGGATGGTTAGCAAGATATTGATGAGCCGCCAGCTTGAGCCCCCGGCGGATCACGCAGAGACCTTCGAACGCTACGCAGGCCAAGGCATAGGTCGACATCCCGGCGGACGCGCACTGCGGCGCCCCCATTCTCCATGGTGTTGACATCGAGAGCGCAGCACTGCGCGCTACGGCCCCGGCATGCGCGTCGGGCTTCCACAGGCACTGGTAGCGACGATGCATGTGCCGCCGCGCTGCGCGCCAACATTGTTCAGCAAGCCCGAGGTTCCTTCTCCCGCGGCCTGAACGCGCTCAGCACCTGAGCCGAGGCGCCGAATCTCGTGGAGTTGGGCCAGATCGACGCCACCGACGCGTCGCGCCCGGAGTCGCGTCGAGTAGGCCTGGTTACTGGGCGCCGAGGTGAAGCACGAAAGAACACGCATCGAGCGACCGAGCGATCTAGCGCAGAACGTGTTGATACCCCGCGCAGTGGACTGTTCCCCGCGCGCGCACCACCTGCCACCTGGACGTGCGCTAGCAAAGATGCAGTCGGAGATAGCGGGGGCGCGTCGCGCGCGGAGGGAGAGCCTGGTCCCCGAGCCTCGTGTTTCAGAGCCAGCGAGCTGTCCGAGGGAGATCAGGACCCATGACAATAGGTGGGGAAGCCTCATCATAAATCCGGACAAATGTAACCCTCCGGACCCCCCCTACGCCTCTGCCAATCCGGACAAAACCCTCCAAAATCGCCCTCAACCCTGTGAAAAAATCACGGACAAAGCCTGGCGTGCGCAATATGCCTCTGACATGTCCGGACAGCCTTGATAAGTGGTTGAACTTGGGTATACTTATAGGCTATCGTCCTGGGTAAGCCGGACGGCTTCCGTCAGTCTACGTTGGGCTTTTGGACAGCTTAGTACTATTTGAACTCAGCAGTAAATAGCTCCTCTGATTAGAGCTAAGCAGTCATTGGCCTACTCAAAGTTATCCCTTACATGTTACGACGAGCCTAGATCGGTCACAGCAAGCGACGTCCTAGGGATCGGACCAGAGGTCTCCAGTAGTTCGAGTCGAGTAGAGGTTCAGAGGAATAGGCAATGGATAACCAGGTCGAGCTGAGGATCCCGAGTGGATCCTCCGGTCTTAAATACAGGAAAGGAGGCATAGACACGTCAGCGCCACGTAGGCGCCACGTACCGTGAGAGTCCAGTATAATTACGTAGAGTCAGGGCTGGGAATACAGGTGATGTGGCGATGACGTGGCAAAACAGGATAGGCTAGGAATACAACAACCGTGGAATCGGTGGGAACGAGGATGACGTGGAACGGGAAAGGATGACGTGGTATGGGAAAAGATGGTGTGGCATAGTGGGAGCGCAAGGAGGAAGGAAAAGGAAACTTCGTGACCGTGACACAGTGAGCGTCGTAACATTACCCCCTTCGTATGCTTCTACGCTGTTCCATCAGCGGAATATCCAGCTCAACTCGTGAACCGCTCGTCCATGTCTTCTGGGCGCAGAGGGCACTCCCACGGGTGATGGCCAGGGGCGGTGGCGCGACACCAGACACATCGCCAGTCTCGGCACCACAGGTACTCGTGATCGGGCGACCCACAGACTAGGCAGCTGCGGCCAATAGGGTGGAGGGACGGCGGGGACTCAGGTCGGGCCGGCGAAGCGTCCATTGGGGCGGGCGAGGTGTCTCTTCGAGGTCTTACGTTACGCTCGTCGGGGGATGGATCCCGGGGCCGACGGCTTCCCGCAGAGACTCTGGTGTGGAACAAGGGCAGATAGGTCCCTTGGCGTCGGGCTTCGCCGGGCACTCTTCTTGCCGCAGCTGGGAGTTCTCCTGGAGGCGGGGCCGCGTCGTTGATGACCGAGGCCAGTGGCGCCATCCTTGCACGGAATGCCGGGAGTTCGAACGTTTGTATGAGGAAGTTCCTCCACGTGCGCGTGGTCCGGGCGAGCCGTCGAGTGGTGTTCAAAGAGTGTTTTGCCAACCTCCGTAACTCGTGGGCATGGTGCCCGACGTTTTCGAGGGCGCGCGCCTGCCGTTCTGCGATGTCGTAGTCCGAGACTTGCCGTTGCTCCTCTTCTTCACCAAACGCCTCATGAAGAGCGTCTAGAGCGTCCTCTGCGATGTCAGCTGCGTCAACAAGGTTCCCTTCCAGTGCGTCCAGTTCCCGTTGCTCGTTGTAGAGGCATCGATACTCTCTAAGGAAGTACTGCAAGCCTCGCTCGGTGGCATTGACGACTGGGATAGGGTTGGTGAGGAGCGCACGGAGCAACTGATTGACGTCGGGGTGCCGGGAGTGGTCTACCAGATGAGAGTCTTCGACACCAACCGTGCTGAGGTCCGACGTCGAGGAGGCGGGTGATGGTGACCTAGAGGTGTATTCCGGTGGGGGCGACGAGAGGCGTCTGGCGAGTGGGGGAGGAATGGGTAGCGGCTGTTGGTTTTCCTGGTCGCTTGCATTGTCGTCAGCGACTTGGGTGCTATAGAGGGGGCGGCCCATTCTACTCGTCCCAGCTGGAGTTGTTGAGGGTGCGGTCGGCCTGGTCAAGCTTGTCGTTTACGGGGTCGAGAGGGTCACGGTGTTCGAGAGCAACTTCGAGGATGTTGGTGGCGAGGCGCAGGTGAGTGGCGATGAAGGCAAGGGCAAGGAGGTAGCCGAGGGTCATGCAGGTGAAGAGCGCGATGATCATAGGCTTCACGATCCCCACGCTGATCGAGATGGGTAGTCACGGCTGTGGAGAGTGTGCTCGATGATGCGGTTGAAGAGGTCGCGGAGGATATACCAGAGAAAGAGGAGGGTGATAGCGAGGAGGGTGAGGCAGTAGATGGCGAAGAGGATGGCGAGAGAGAGCATTGCAGATTACAGCAGCTTCTTCGCCCTTTTATACCGTTGGAGGATTTCTTTGGTGTTCGGAATTAGAGCGGACTCGGGTTCCCATGTGTTCTTGGCGCTGGAGTAGCCTTTCCACTTGATTTGGTAGCGGATTCCGCCTCGTGTGGTCTTGTGTCCGACGATCGCTTCGACCTCATATTCTTCTTCTCCGTCGATAAGGTCAGGTGGTGGCCTCGTGTAGTTCGGTCCGTGGGTGTCGTT